TAGTTGTTGTTGAAACGTAGTCCTATCCTATTCCCTGAGCTGCGTGCAATGGCATCATAACTCACTACAACCTCAGACTTGGGCTATGGGCATCTGCTGCCTCACCCCTCCAGAAGTTGCTGGGATTATAGTTCTTGCCGTGGCACCCAACTGGGTTTTTTTTTTTTTTTTAATGAGTCAGGGTCTCACTCTTGGCTCAGGTGAGTCTTGAACTCCGGAACTCAAGCAATTCTCCCTCCTCAACCTCCCACAGTGCTGGGATTACAGGTGTGATCCACCGCACCTGGAGGGCCTAGGGTCTCATATTTAAAACATATTTAGGAAATGTAATGATTAGCAAACATTGAAATGGCAAGGTTATATGTTGTGGTGATAAGTCTGATAGTGAAACTTGAGTTTCTGACTATTTGTGCTATCCCCATTGTTTATCCTGCTAGTTTCCATAGTTTTAGTGCTAGAAATATATTGAGTGTTGGATCCATACACAGTTCAGTTGTTATTTTTTTTAGGGCAATGTTTTTCATATGTGGATTTATTTTTACTTTTTTAGGCTGATTCAGTGTGAAAATGAGGTAGGGAAATTGTTGTTTATCACAGAAATCCCAGAGTTAATACTGGAAGATCCCAGTGAAGCCAAAGAGAACCTCATACTGCAAGAAACGTCTGTGATAGAGTCACTGGCTGCAGATGGGAGCCCAGGACTGAAATCAGTGCTGTCTACAGGCCGAAATCTAAGCAACAACTGTGACCCAGGAGAGAAGCCAGTGGTTACCTTCAAAGAGAACATTAAGCCACGAGAAGTGAACAGAGACCAAGGAAGAAGTTTTCCTCCCAAAGAGGTGAGAAGGGACTATAGCAAAGGAATAACTATAACTAAGAATGATGGAAAGAAGGACAACAACAAGAGGAAAACTGAAACCAAGAAATGCACCTTAGAAAAGTTACAGGAAACAGGAAAGCAGAATGTGGCAGTGCAGGTAAGCTGTATTTGAACTATAAAGCAGGTAGAGGAAGGCTCACATAAAAGGCAAGATTTTTTTTTTCATTTTGTTCTAAAGCCTTGAGAATTGGTTATCCTGGGAGTTTAAATGCATTCTTCTAATGCATAGTAAGGTTATGTAAAGAGCTTTGATAGGTGGTCACGTTATCAATTCTTGGGAATTATAATGTAAGTGAAAAAAAACTCAGTGTGATTTGACACTTTTGTCAGTCCTTCAGTTTAAGTGATTTGAAATAACCTGTTATAGAATCATCAGTGCTACACAGAATTATATTTTCTTTGGAAGGTGTAATTACCATGTTAATGTTATAGTGGAGATTTGGAGTTTTTTGTAGATCTAATAGAACCAAGAGCAGTGCATTGAGGCTTTACAGCTTTGTGGGGTTTTTTTGATTCACTGTACAAAATAAAATATTTTCTTGCAAAAAGATGAGGCTCTTTTCCTTAACATTTATACCTGTCCCAGCTAGTGGCATTATATCACTTTTAATAGTGTCCTGCTCATGGGAATTTGTAAAGCAAGAACCCAGGCCTCTTGCTGGAAAAAGATGAACACTGATTAGTTACTTATGACTTTGGTTTTTTTTAAAGAGCTTTCCAGAGAAATACAGATGATTTCTTATAAACAGTAAAGGGTCTTTACTCTGTGCTGGTTTTGTTAATATCATTAATGTGTAAATAAATACTTAAGCGGCCATATGATTTGTTTACATGTTTCCATGAGAAACCTTATGTTGTTGAAGGCTGCTTACAGACAAACAGTACCTTCTGTGTATTTCTCTGATATCAATAGTATTTTTTTTTTGAGAAAGGGGGAAAATAATAGTTTCAATTTCAAGATTAATAGTAGAGAGAAAATTAGAAAAACATGAGGGGAATTAAGAAAAAAGAAAAGAGAGAGAGGTGCTGGGGAAAAGGAAGAAATAAACCCAAATGAACTAGAAAGCCAAAGGATCAGTGTTTTAGGGATAGAGTCCAGCATTTCTTGCCTGTCCTGCCTTCATTCCCTGTAACTGCCTCTAACTAAGGTCTAGACTAAAAGTAAAATGTTTATGGTCCCTCATCCATCTCAGATTGCCTATGGCTAATTAAAGCCTGATAATAGTCAATACATTACCATACTTTGTATCTCATCCCCAATTTTCTGTAAATACTACTTATTTTCTCTCATTGCGCTCAACCTTGAGCAGTACATATGGCATCTGCTTCTCCTTGGCTTTATGTTTAGGGTTTCAGGGCCTGTTCTTTACTGTTGAAAGTTATCCTTATTTATTCTGAAGGATTGTAAAGTTGCTGATGGAGCGTGGGTGCTGGGTATACTTTTTTTTTGAGACAGTCTCAAACTGTTGCCCTGGGTAGAGTGCCGTGCTATCACAGCTCAACAGCAACTTCCAACTCTTGGGCTTAAGTGATTCTCTTGCCTCAGCCTCCCAAGTAGCTGGGACTACAGGTGCCTGCCAGAATGTCCGACTATTTTTGGTTGTAGTTGTCATTGTTGTTTGGTGGGCCTGGGCTGGATTCAAATCCACCAGCTCCAGTGTATGTGGCTGGCACCCTAGCTGCTTGAGCTACAGGCACTGAACCTTGAGTGGGTACACTTAAGGCTGCCCAGGTGAAATTAAACCAAGAACCAAAGTATCTTACCTATGGATTAATAGTCATTATGAATTTGTAATTCATGTATTCTATTAAATGAATTAGAGAATGTAAAGGGCCCTGGGCAGCTTAAGATCATGGATAGGTTTTTTAACTTGGCATTGGTCATCTCATTTGTAAAACAAACGGGCTCTAAGGTCCTTTTTATATTTGGTATTTTTGTGGTCATGTAAAAGCAAAAAATTATATTAATAAACTTAAGCCCTTATATCTTTTAATTGGCTATTAATTTGTTTTGGTTTTTCCATTTTTACCTTAGGTGAATTTAAATGTCTTCATTATATACTTTTTGACATAATGAGGCTTTAAACACTTTCCTTAGGAGAAGGTGCTTCTTTCTGACATGCTTGAGTTTTGGGTTATTACAGTTTTGCTTCTATTGGTCATAGGTAAAATCCCAGACAGAACTAAGAAAGACTCCAGTGTCTGAAGCCAGGAAAACACCTGTAACTCAGACCCCAAGTCAAGCAAACAACTCCCAGTTCATCCCCATTCATCACCCTGGCGCCTTCCCTCCTCTTCCCAGCCGGCCAGGTAAATATATGTTTTGTAATTTCTTGTGCTTAATCCCATCTTTCAGAAATTTCTGTTTACTCACTGATTAATTTATATTCCATTGGAGTGAATCATCATGTTAGAAGGTAGAAAGAAGTTCTGTTTTCCCTAATGTAACATTATTTTTGAGCCATTTCTCTGTAGTATACATGCAAGAGCATGTTTGTTACCAGGAAGGAATTCCTGTCATTAAACATAAGATGCCATCTTTCGAATACTCTGATTATTCGTAATGGGTAGAAGAAAAGTAACCAATAGGTCTATATTTAGTTGTAAAAATCAAGTTAAAGATTGATAATGTGGCTGATTTCTTTTATAATGTGGTAGAAGATACTCTCCTCAAAAAAAGTTGACTTTTTTGCCTTTCTCTTGCTAAGTTTCTTTAGAACTAAAGCTGTGTTCTTCTATTTTAAAGGGTTCCCGCCCCCAACATATGTTATCCCCCCTCCTGTGGCATTCTCTGTGGGCTCAGGTTACACCTTCCCAGCTGGTGTTTCTGTCCCAGGAACCTTTCTTCAGCCTACAGCTCACTCTCCAGCAGGAAACCAGGTGCAAGCTGGGAAACAGTCCCACATTCCTTACAGCCAGCAACGGCCCTCTGGACCAGGGCCAATGAACCAGGGACCTCAACAATCACAGCCACCTTCCCAACCCCTTACATCTTTACCAGCTCAGCCAACAGCACAGTCCACAAGCCAGTTGCAGGTTCAAGCTCTAGCTCAGCAACAATCCCCTACAAAAGCCGTGTCGGCTTTGGGGAAAAGCCCGCCTCACCACTCTGGATTCCAGCAGGTAAGTTATAGCTATGTATACTGTTCAGCTGAAATAAGGGGAAACATTGAAATGATTCAATGTTTGGCTAGTTACTGATTAAGCTTTAAGATACTTCTTGCTTAGACTTGTAATGATTACAGGAATACAGAAATATTGTTGTACTGTTCGGAAAGTTCAGATATTTCCCTTCTTTTGAAGAAAGTAATATATTAGATCTTAATTGCCATTCTTTGCTGCTACTATGAAAAGATTTTCAGCACATTATCCTCTCCTATTTTAATACAAACTGCAGAAGGGAAATACAATTATAATCTTGACAATATACTAAGATAGATGTGACACCAATTTTAAATGTTGTCAGCTCCAAAGCACTTGAAGCAGAAAAGGGGAAACACACATGCATATACACATGTATTTTATTCATTCATATATTCATTCATTAAATCTCTTAAATAATTGAATTGTAAGAGAATGTGAGTGAGGGTCAGGTGCAGTGGCTCACACATGTAATCCTAGCACTCAGGAAGGCTCAGGTGGGTGGATTGCCTGGGCTCAAGAGTTCCAGACCAGCTTGAGCAAGAGCAAGACCTTGTCTCTAAAAATAGACAGGTCTTGTGGTGGGCACCCGTAGTCTCAGCTACTTAGGAGGCTGGGGCAAGAGAGAGGATCACTTGAGCCCAAGAGTCTGAGGTTGCTGTGAGCTATGACACCACACAATAAGACTTTCAAAAATAATTAAATAAATAAAAAGAACGTGAGTGGAGTGAGTGGCCACAATCCAGTCCCAGATAGCTCTGTATATTGAAAAACTCAAAAGGAAAAGAAAACTGCTGCATTTCCTAGAGATTTTTTAGCTGGAAAATACCTCTAGTTCATTCTGACATTCTTAAATATTGATTATAAGTACCGTTGCATTTTTTATCCTCATCTTGATGACAAGTACCTCTTTTTTTTAGTATCAACAGGCAGATGCCTCCAAACAGCTGTGGAATCCCCCTCAGGTTCAAGGCCCTTTAGGGAAAATTATGCCTGTGAAACAGCCCTACTACCTTCAGACCCAAGACCCCATAAAACTGTTTGAGCCGTCATTGCAACCTCCTGTAATGCAGCAGCAGCCTTTAGAGAAAAAAATGAAGCCTTTTCCGATGGAGCCATATAACCATAATCCCTCAGAAGTCAAGGTCCCAGAATTCTACTGGGATTCTTCCTACAGCATGGCTGATAACAGAGCTGTAATGGCACAGCAAGCAAATATTGACCGCAGGGGCAAACGGTCACCAGGAGTCTTCCGTCCAGAGCAGGAGCCTATGCCCAGGATGCCATTTGAGGTATGTGTTTTTTCCTGTCACCAGGCATTTTGAAGGTGGGTCTGGGATTGCATGTCTTTTTCATCTCTCGAATAGATGTTATTTGTAAAGGTTGCTGTTACATTCATTAGTACTACTGAATGCTACTGAGTGATTGGTGCAGCTCTCGGTCTCCTCTTCTGAATTGTACAGTATGTTTTAGTTTGAGGAGCTGAAGAATTCTGTAACTGATTTTGGACTGTGATGGTCTGGCAGAGAAATCATATACAGAAATCCCTAACCCAGCATGTCAGAGAATTCTGAGGCAAAGCGCTCCTCTCAGTTGGGCTGTATCATCTAAGTTTAAAAATAGGCTTACTAAGTACTTAGATAAATTGCAGCAAAGTTTCTGATAGGAACAAAGTCAGCCAGTTTTCTTGGACAGTTGAGGTCCCTTTCCTTACACATTTTGTTGATGGGAAACAGGTGTGCTTTTAACTTTTTTAAGTGCTGTTTCTCTTTATTAGCGCAAGATATGCTAACCACTTTGTTCCATCATATTGTTTTACTCATTAGCCACACTATTAACCTTTTATGTCCACTCTTTGTTAGTATTTTTGCTTCCTTTCTGTTGTCTTGATCTTCACTGTCCTTGTGTCACTTTGCCCTTGCATTTCAGAGCCCTTTCCTTCCTCTTTGCATAATGCTGTTTCACTCTCCTCTTAACTTTAGTTGCTTCATTCACCTAATCAGGCCACTTACTCCTTTGTGCTTTTGTCATCCCTTATTGCATCTCACTGTGATCCTTTCTGTCACTAGGACCCCAAGAGCTCCCCTCTGCTTCCTCCGGACCTGTTAAAGAGTCTGGCTGCCTTGGAGGAAGAGGAAGAGCTGATTTTTTCTAACCCTCCTGATCTTTACCCAGCTCTGCTGGGGCCTCTCGCCTCTCTTCCTGGACGAAGCCTCTTTGTATGTATTTGACATAATTCTGCATCTTACTCTAACTCCAGCTTCTTTCCTGAGGTTTTATAGTAATTAGAATAGGTGATTTCCTCCCTGGGACTTTCATTCTTTACAGAAGTATAAAACTTATTTTCTGATTGCCTAAACTAACTGTACAATGGTAGTAGAACATGGCAAAACATTTCTTACTTTGTACACATAGTTCCCCAAATTGTAGAGACGTACCATGGTATTAACATGTGTTATCCAAAAAGTGTCCTGCAGGGCTGGTCACCTACAGGGTGTGATGTTAGCCAATTAACTCACTTTTCATTTAGGTCCAGAAATTTCAAATGTCATTTAATCTTGCTCAGGAACAGTGAGATTTCTCCTATGTGGCGAAAATAGGAAAGAAAATACAGTATGTTGTAGGTTTTCTTACTAACATTATTTTATAGTATGTGACTCTTTTCTGGTTGGTTAACTGAACCCAGAAAGAGCCTTGGTCTAAATTCCAAATTGGATTAATAGATAGAATGAGTAAAGTGAAGAGGATTCTATTTATAATCATTGTTGTAATGCCATAAATTAGTGAATATGAAGATAAATAACTAGTTTAACAAATAAAATCTAAGAATTGTTTAGTGATATCTTTACAAAAATAATCTTCTAGAACCTAGGTTGCATTTTAAAGAATGTTATTTTTACACTTGTCCATGTTTCTGTTGTATGTTACTAAGAGTAGAGAGAATAGAAGATAGGAAGGAACATACATGCAGTGAGGGCTCTTTTCCTCTTCTCTTCGTTATATCTTAATAAAACATAAAAAGGTACACATTTTGCTTTCTTGCTGCTTTTTTCCCATAAACATGGGGGAAGAAAACATTTGTAAGAATAAAATGCATTAATTTTACTATCAGGAGAAATAAAAACAGGACAGTAGCTGCCATCCCTGGCACTTGAAGTTCCCTTAAGAATTTGCATAGGTGGGTGCAATAGAGGCCTCCTATCAAGTTAACAGCAATAAAAGAGCCCTGGAACCGTAAATGGTAATAGTGCCACGGCTGAGAGCAGAGGCTGTGGCAGCCTGGCTGCCGTGCTGTCACTGTGCACATTTGCCTTTCCCATTGCTCTTCTGCTGGAGTGGCTTGAGAGACAAGAGGATGGTGCTTCTCTGTCCACTTGTTTCCCAATCCCTTAGTTCCTTTTGCTCCTGCCCCTTCTGTAGGAAATGGATCTGATGGTGGGACAAGTAGGAGTTTTTTTCTGTCTATTTTTCTTTTTTCTTTCTTTTGGGGGATTGCATATTCAAAGAAACCACAATACAAAGCAACATCAAACCTTGACTATAACCCTTCTAGTATTTGGCATTGTTAGTAATATGTGTGTGAAAGTGCCTTGCACGTAGTACGTGTTTAATACATGTTTAACCAACTACTCGATGATAGCATTAGAGATTTGTCATCTTTTTTTTCTGTTAACTTTCGTAGGGCAAGTAAATGTAAGCTTAACTCTTAGCAACTATTTTAAAATATGTATACTAAACAGAGCTGCTTAGGAAACATTAACAAAACCATTTGTCAGATGGATTTAAAAGACTTTATTAACGTCACAAGTGTTAATATTTTAAAAGTTGGAGTATGAGGGGCAGTACTAGGACAGTTCAGCATTTTGTTTTGAGATTATTTCAAATGCAACTATTGACAAGGGGAGTCCTAAGATTGATGCCTAGTAAACACTCAGAACTGCTGTTTTCCTGGTCTGGTCTCTGCCAGAATTTAATCTCTGCTAGATTAGATACGCTGATAAAGGAGGGTTCTGTTGGGCTTATCTGTGGCAACTGGCACTTAGTTGGTGTCTTGTTATTAACAAATTTGAATTCACATCTTTGGAGTTTCATTCTTGGCACACGACAGGCAGGTATAAGCATGCTTAAATGATCATCGTTTACTTTGGTTCTATAGTATCTTAAGATTTACTATTAAGAAACGGAAGACATAACTTGCTTACCTTTTTTTCTGGGACTGTGAAGAAATCCTTATTGGAGAAGCCCTCAGAGCTCATGTCCCATTCATCCTCTTTCCTGTCCCTCACCGGATTCTCTCTCAATCAGGTAGGTAAACAGCTTTTAGTGTCAGCCAATACTTTTTTTTCCATACTATTTTACTATGTCTATTTTTCTTCTTTCTTTTCTATTCCTTATGTTGGTGACCAAATACTGGTCTCCAGATATTTTATTTGATCTCATTTGTCTCTGATTAGGGCAGACTAGTGACTTGTACTCAAAGGGTTTGAGTTTAAACCCTTTAACTTCTCATTAATATTGAAATTCTTAGGGCTCTGTTTGTTGTTCAGCCAAATAAACTAGTCACATTTTTTGACCCCAGGTGGTTTACATAGAACAAATAAAGGGTGAGAGAAAGCAAAGGGGAAAATAAATTTGACTGGAAAATTAAAAGAAACAAAAAGAAAGCCCCCCAAAGTTTCTTTTGGTAAGAAAAGCTTAAGGTGTTTCAAGCATCTGTGAATATGACGACGTATTTTCTTAAGTTTCTCTCCTTCAACTGAGGTTGTAACTTGACTGTTATGTCTTTCAGGAAAGATACCCAAATAACAGCATGTTCAATGAGGTGTATGGGAAAAACCTGACAACCAGCTCCAAAGCAGAACTCAGTCCCTCACTGGCGCCCCAAGAAACATCTCTGTATTCCCTTTTTGAAGGGACTCCCTGGTCTCCATCACTTCCTGCCAGTTCAGGTATTAACTAGGCTTTAAATTGTAGATTTTGCATTTCCTATGTATTCACATTAAAAGTTAAGTGAGATTTTATAATTATTAATATATTAGGTTTTGTTTTTTTTTTATTTTTAAGTAACTTCTGAAAGAAAATAGGAAAAAAGCCTGATGAGCTGGTTCGTGTAACAAACGCCACTAGAAAAGCTTTTTACATCCTCAGTAACCAACTGAGTTATAAGGGGAAAAAACAGGGGTTCATCTTACGGTTCCCAGCTGTTTTTTTGTTTTGTTTGTAGATGGGCATTCTGTGCAGGATAAGTTGCCCCTTTTTTTTTTTGAGATCTCGCTGTGTTGCCCAGCCTTCTGAGTAGCTGGGAATACCAGTGCATGCTGCTACACCCGGCTTTTGGTTTTTAAAATAAGGCTTTTTAAGTGAGTCTGATTTAAGAGTAATTCTTAAGGTTAGGAAAGTCTATTTTTGATAGAAAAGACCAGTAAATACTTACCTGAAACAAGCATGCTAGAATAGTGCATTCTTTTAACAAAATTTTCTACTGTTTCATTTGCTTTTTTAAGGCAAAGAATATGCCTCGAATATGTGTAGTAAGGCAAATTAGTGAATGTGGTCAGAATCTCTTTGGGGCCCTTGTTTTGCCTTTTGTCCAAAGACCTGTGAAGTTATTTTTAGGAGAATTTAAGTGATCTAATCTAAAGGAAACTAGTTCTTTTATGTTTGTGAAACATATGTTTAATGTCCTGTGTTGCTGTTATTTAATAGATCATTCAACACCAGCCAGCCAGTCTCCTCATTCCTCTAACCCAAGCAGCCTGCCCAGCTCTCCTCCAACACACAACCATAATTCTGTTTCATTCTCAAATTTTGGACCCATTGGGACTCCAGATAACAGGGATAGGAGGATTGCAGATCGGTGGAAAACTGATAAGCCAGGTGAGATCTAGGTTTCATTTCCTATCAAAAGTGAAAGAACTTACTCCATCCCTTTCCAGGGTTTGGTACTTAACAGTGATAGAAGAATATCGTTTTAAGTTCTTTTTAATCTCTCTTCTTCCCTTAGCCATGGGTGGGTTTGGCATTGATTATCTCTCAGCAACAACATCCTCAGAGAGCAGTTGGCATCAGGCCAGCACTCCAAGTGGCACCTGGACAGGCCATGGCCCCTCCATGGAGGATTCCTCTGCTGTCCTCATGGAAAGCCTAAAGGTGAGTAGATTTCAGGAACAAGAACCACAAGATTTTTGCAGGAAACATGTCTCTGCTTTTATTCACATAAAGAGCTAGGCTTATTTCTAAGGCCCTTCGCATTGACTGATGCATTGTACATATATAGCAAAGTCTAAGAAACACAGTCTGCCTTACAGATTTCTTAATGGGAATTTTATTTTTAATTTGTGAATTCACTAGTGATAAAGAAGCATCTTCAGAAGGACAGAAACATAAAAGTCTTAGTTTCATTCTAAGGTTAAGAAAATTATGATTCATCTGAGAGTATTTGATTTAACCCTTTTTTGACCAAGTGAAAAGAATATCTAATTTCAGAAATGTTCTGTACCTAAAAACCTTTATAGTAAATACCTTATGGTGTCACATACAGCTGAGTTTTAGCAAAAAGATTTCATATAAAATGTCATTTTACCTTTTCTGGTTTAAAATAATGGGAACTATCTAGTCTGGAGAGTCTCATGACTTTTTCTAATAGCTGGCTTTTTTTAGGGGTCGGGGTGAGGCTCTTAGGACATACATGCCTTTATATTTGGCTGGGATTGAAAAACAAATCCCTTTCAGACAACCAGGCATTTGACCTCTGCTGACAAGATCTGGGCTGTTTTTCAGTCTATCTGGTCCAGTTCCATGATGCGTCCTGGACCTTCCGCTCTGGAGCAGCTATTAATGCAGCAGAAGCAGAAACAGCAGCGGGGACAAGGCACCATGAACCCTCCACACTGAGGCCAAAATGGCAACCCTGGGAATGAAGGCTCCATAAACCATGGCATGTTGGGTTTGCAGGACTGGCCCACACAGTCCCCTGCAGGTGGCAGCCCTCTTTTCTGTTTCTTGCTGTCAAGAGGGTGTAAGTGTTCCACCAGCCCGCTGAGTGTGCACGAAATGTTCGCAGTGCAACAAAAAGAAAAATCCATCAGGAACTCTCCGTTCCCCCCAGGGCCTTCGGAGGGAGAGAGAGAGAGGAACTGCTGTTTATCTCACTCAGTTACTTGATATCACCACCTCTCACCTTCTCCATCGTGCATGTCCCCAGTCACATGGGAAGTGAAAGCTGAGAAGGGAAGGCAGATGGGAGAAGCCAATGGGAACTTCTCAGTCCTTTTTTCCTCTTTGGGGAATAAAATAGGAATCCATTAATGATTGCTTTGCTGACTGAGAATGTAGTTGAAATTATTCCTAAACATCTTTTATTATTGTTATTACTCTCAGTAGTAAAATATCACACTGAATTCTTCCATACACAGGTGTGCTTCTAGTCAGTGTGTAGCAAGGAAAGCCCTGTTCACTGCTCCTGCAAGAGAGGCTGATGGTGACAGGATAGGGAATCGACCTCCTCAGCCAGAGGCATAAGGGAGAGTTCAAGGCCTCACAGAAGGTTCTGGTAGGCCCTCCTCTGGCCTGGAGACTCCAGCAGGAAATGTCCTTCACTCTGTAGGTGCTCGAGCCCTAATCAAGGATGCAGTGTGGGTGGTGGTGCTGGGCTGGACTAGCAGGTGACTGCTGTAGGATTTCAAATTACGTTTTTGATTCCTGTACATTTTACAGTAGCATAGCAAGCAGTCTCACAGAAGGCAGGCTGGTCCATTCATGGCCTGACGTGTTATAGTGGGTAGAAGCTTTCAGTGTGGTTATTTTTGTTTGGTTGGTTTTTGTGCCCCCTTCTACTTACCACCCACCTGCTTTGTCTCCATCCCTTTATTACCCTATGCTGTATGCTAGTAACTTGTTTTTATTCCTAATGTGTGCAACATCTCACCAAGAAGCAACAGCATGGGGCCCAGCAGTTGGGGCCCCAAAGACAGTCTGAAGAGGAAGGAAGCAGCAGCGTCTGCACAGCCCACCGAGGGGCCAGGCCTTGCCCAGCTGCAGTCTCCCAGCTCCACTTTCAGAGTGCAACTCAAGGCAACACGGACACGTGCACAGCATGCGCAGAAGAAAACAGAACCAAGTCCATTTTGGAAAAGGCAAAAGAAAGGAAAAGAAACTTTTTATTTGATATTTATTAGGAGGAAAGAGGACTGAAAATGTTCTTGTCTAGAAACAGAAGGACAGTCATTTCCTGGAAAAGTAATGTTTTAAGGGGAAATTATGGAAACAATCTCAATGTCCAATTGCCGTGCTAGTGGTAGGGTTTATTTTCTGGGAGAGACCTCCTTTGTATGTCTGAGCGTGTTTGTGTGCACACACATGCCCATCTGCTCTCCCAGAGGGGAGGGGTTGTGTGTCTGAGTGTGTGGAGTTAGTGTGGAACTTAAGAGCTGGAAAACAGCTGCAGAGCAAAGCACATCCAGGAGCCCCAGTTGCCCCTGGAGTTTGGACAACCCCAGCAGTTTAAAGGGGTGAGATAATGCTCATTGCTCTTCAGAGAGAGTGGTTGGAGCCCCCGTATGCTTACATTATTGCTCTTTTAGTTTGACATGGTGTTTGGGTTTTTGTTTTTGTTCTATTTTTTTGAGGTCTGAAAGGGTGAAGCCCCCAACCCAGTGGCAATATGAAACCCTTTGTGCTTCTCTCCTGCCCCTTCCCAGTGTCCACCTTTCTCCTCTTCCACCCCTCCCAGGCCTCTTTCCCTACTGCCTTTACCCAGTTTGTGTGTTTGAGCTCTGCATTCAGGCAGCTGCAACATTCCAGTGTTTGAACTGTCACTGATTCTTGCACCCTAGACAAGCTAACCAGTTTTACCATCTCACTCCCAGTAGTACCCAGTTCCCATGTGAAGCCCCATTCTGCATGAGAATTTGGTGTTGAGAATGTTTTCTGACCTTTGGGGCGGGGTTCCTCGCCTTATCATCCTCACTGTGGAGTAATGAGGATGGGGAGGAGAATCATCACCAGAAGCTGGTTTTGTGTAGCAAACTTTCTTTTGTGGTTTTTTGTTTTGTTTTGTTTTGTTTTCTGGGGTTTTTTTTTGTTTTTGTTGGGGTTTTTTTTTTTTTTTTTTTTTTTTTTTGTCTGTCTGTGCAAGACCTGCAGCTGCTGAAATCAGCTTTGCCTTTAATTAAACCATGTTCTCTCCAACCAGATCTGTGTATAGGTTGTTTATTTACTGTCCTAAAAGATAACAATACTGAAGAAAATACATCTTAAGGGCAAGAATATCAACTACTCACAAGTTGTCCAGGGAAAAGCAAAGATGATCAGAACCTGAATGTGTTTTAGGGTTATTTTTGCTTTTATTAGCATTCCAAACCAATGAATTATTATGGAAAAGGATGAAGAGAAAGAAACTGATTATCAAAATTATTTTATTTAATAAAGAAGCTGGGTGCAAGTGGCTCATTCCCATGATCCTAGCTGTCTGGTAGGGCATAGTGGGAAGATTGTTAGAGCTCAGGAATTGAAGAGCAGCCTGAGCAACAGTGAGACCCCCATCTCTACCAAAAATAGAAAATATTAGCTGGGCATGGTGGTGGGTGCCTATTGTCCCAACTACTTGGGAGGCTAAGGCAGGAGATCTGCCTTTATAGTTTATATTGAAGGCCCACCAAGCTACCACTGGAGACTCTGCATATATGTTAGAGTCTATGATAGTGTGGTGCAGGAACCGGAGTGTTTATACATGGCCCTTGGGCCTGGACTTTTGGTGTCTTGTTTTGGTTTTGTAAGATTAAGTTTTTTTCTTTTGTGTTTTGTTTTTTGGGTTTTTTTTAAGAGACAAGTCTTACTTTGTTGCCTTTGGTAGAGTGCTATGGCATCACAGCTCACAGCAACCTCCAGCTCTTGGGCTTAGGTGATTCTCTTGCCTCAGGCTCCCAAGTAGCTGGGACTACAGGAGCCTGCCACAATGCCCAGCTATTTTTTTGTTCTTGTTGCAGTTTGGCCAGGGCTGGCGCCCCACTCACTGAGCCACAGGTGCTGCCCTGAAATTAAGTTTTTTTTTGTTATTGAGGTATCATACATACAGAGAAATGCATCATTCAAAGGTAGACAGCTTGGTGAATTTTTACAATGTGAATGCATCTGGGTAGCTGGCACTCAGAGCAAGAAACAGATTATCAGCACCCTATAAGACCCCCTCAGACACTTACTTCCACTCCTCCCCATAACTTCCCCACCCCCTGTGCCCCAGACAATCATCATCCTGGGTACTCACATAAATGCCTAATAGATAATTGTTAACAGAAAAAATTTAGGTTAACGCTCTCAAACTGTAATGTCCCCAGTACAGTCTACAGCAGAGGCCTGCTAAATCATGCAAACAAAGGCTTCCTTGTGTTTGACTTAGTAGGTTGTGAAACGTCCTAGACTTCTCTAGGAGTGCTTTTCACATCTGTAGTTGCACATTCTTCAACAAAAGCTTTGGGGAAGATGCCAACCTTCCCTTCACATTCCCCTTCCAGCCACTCTTCATTCACTGATAAAAGGAAAGATACACAATGATTTCTAAGACCAGGATTGACCTTTTGTCAGTCAACCTCCACACCTCCCATTGTGATAATGGGAGAAACAAAGTATTGGACACAGGCTTTATTAATAACCATCTTATCACTGATTTCTGACTTCGAATAATGAAGGAGTAAACTGCAGAAGAATGAATTATATTTTTCAAGAAGTTAACAGAGAAATAAGGTAAAAAATAATAAATTTGAATAATAAATCCGTAGGTGTAGTTTTTAAGAAAGAGGATTGTGTTTAAGCTTTGTTGGGACTCTGTTTTGAGAAAACAGAAAAAAACATGCTTTTGGTTAAATCTTGGCATATCCTCTATCAGAAGGCAGCACAGTCAGATGGACATAGCCCTAAGGAGTCCATGGAGCTAGGTTTGTATTTTTCTTTTTATTAAAAATAAAAATTCACCATTCAGTGATTAAAGAGTTGAGAGAACTAGCAATGGGTTTAGTACATGTTTGTAAAAATATAAAGATTTTAATAGCTCCTATGTTGAACCTTTAATAAAATGTACTGTCGAATCTAACAGTACATCATAATAAGTCAGTAATGGATATTAGCTGTATTTTACTCAAGGAAAAGGAGACCCAGAGAGATTAATAGTTTGTGCATCAACCCTAAGAACAGTGGTTCACGCATCATATGGATTGGTACAAACGTGAAATTATCCCAGCAAATTTGTTAACTCTGGGAATAAGGATCCATGAGTTCTAAAACATCCATCGGTAGTAATCAAGGTGTTATCTCAGGCTATTTGCTTCCTTGCCCATCAGAGGAACAGATAGGGAAAGGCCAAACACTCAGTTTAGTTCCAGCTAAACAGCAGGAGATTGAAACCACTGGCTGAAGTTTGGTTTGTATGTTACTGAAGGCTTCTCTCTGCCCTTGACCTTGTTTCAGCTAACATGTCAATTAGTTTACATAATCTTGGAGCAGCACTTACCCTTTGATAGCACGAGGATTATATCCCCTTCCACAAAGTCCAGGTCCTCTGGTTGCGTAGCCTTGTAACTGAAGAGAGCTACCACTTGGCTCCTTTCCTTAAGCTGAAGTTCTGTCGGATGGTTTTTAGCATCACATTTTTCACTTTCCTTGGGTTCATCTGGAAAGCCTTGGTCACCCTGAAATAACAAAGGGCTTGTTAATTTTCCTAATTTCCTGGCCAGTGGATATTGAACATCACTAAAGGAGCCAGTGAAGTGTCCTAGTTGAACTTAGGAGACAAACTCAAAGGCAGGTTTGTCATCAGGGCTTAGTGTAGAGCTGATGTATCCTTTTGGAATACTGGATGGTCAAGTAATAAAGGAAACCAAAAGGTCTGTAGAACCATCTATTGTCTTAAAATAGCTTACTGAAAATTTACAATAAGCCTGAGAAAGGCAGAATAGGCTAATCTTTTTTTTTTTTTTCCAGATGGGGAAACGGGTGGAATCGTAAGTGACAGAGCCCAGTGCTGAGTTTCCATCTTAGCACTGGACCTAACACCCTTTTCTCAGCACCAAAGCCACTTGTTCAAAACGCAGATTTTCAGCTCCATCCCAAACCTAAGTCAGAAACTCCTTGAGGATGGGGCCACTTTATATTTTAAGGCCTCAGGTTATTTCTGGTGGTTACTGAAGTTTGAGAACCACTGCACAGGGCCACACTTCCTTTGTAACACTTCTTGCACATAGGGTTTTGGACTTTTTACGCATCATGGTCATTTTTGCTCCATAAATGGAAAGCGGTGTTCCTGGAGATGTGAATCAGTATTTAACAAATGAATGTTAGAAACGCTGCCAGGCTGAAATGTACTGAGTGTTAAAAGTTCTAGCTGTTTGTTGAACCTTGGCATATACTCTTTTCAGAAGGCAGCACAGTCAGATGGGCATAGCCCTAAGGAGTCCACAGAGCTAGGTTTGAATCCCAGCTCCACCGCTTATCAGCTGTGTTCCTTGAGCTAGCAGTGTACCCCCTGAGAACTTGAATTTCCTCACTTTGAGATTGAGGCTAGAAGAATTAAATGAGATGACATAGGATAACAGTTGGTATTTATTGAACAGTTACTGTGACAGTACTAAGTATACATGTAGAACCTCCCTAAGTTGACCTAGTTTTCATAGACCAGACATATACCTCGTGTACGTATCAGTACAGGAGACCTAGTTACTTAAGTTGACCAGTTTGTTACAGTCCCTTGGGTGTAACAAACCCCTCAATTTACAGAGGTTCTGTTGTATAAATATGGGTTAGTATAAGTGTTCTGTACAGAATAGGTGCTTAACAAATGTTAGTTCATTTTCCGTCTAGTATGAGAACAATATGACTTTCTCCCTCCAAGGGTAATGGATAGTGGTAAAGAGTGTTCAACAGTAACACTTGAGCCTGGATTGAGTTCCAAAGACCGCTGGTAGTTTGGGAATAGCTTAGATCAAAGCTCTTGCCAAAGGAAAATATTAATTAAAATAACTTCTAAGACATGTTCACATTTAGAGCAGAAGCCCTTCTATGCAGAATCCTTTCAAGATGCTGAAGGGGTTAGTCTGAAGACAGTTGACAAACCTATAGTGACCTGTCAAACTTTAAAGGTTCACACTCTTTTAACTCTTTAAACATTCACACTCTCTGGGCCTTTTCTCTCAGCCAGAGACTAATCAGTGTCTCAACCCCAGTAGCTCAACTTCTTGAAGGCAATTTTCTGAACTCTTAAATGCCGCAGACTGGGGGTTATAGAGGGCCCTCCTCCAGCTATCCTCCTTCATCCTTCCTCTCCCTCTTACTTTTTTTCCAGCAAACATTTGTCTTTGATTTAAGTGAGAGCATACCAAAGAAACCCTTCCCCTATCTAACAGACCTGACCCCTGCCCCTGCCCCTGCCCCAGGCCTGGACAGGCTAGAATGGCTTTTCCACACAGTTGTTTCCATTGTCTGAAAACCCACTTGCAGATGAAAAATAGTAGCTCTCTAAAGGATTCCTGTGTAAACTGTTTAATATTACATACCCTACACCAGTGGTTCTCAACCTTCCTAATGCCGTAACCCTTTAATTACAGTTCCTCGTGTTGTGCTGACCCCCAATAATTTTATGGTTGGGGGCCACCACAACATGAGGAACTGTGTTAAAGGGTCACAGCATTAAGAAGGTTGAGAACCCCTACACTACACTGATAGAACTGCAAATGCCACAGCCTAAAAATGCTAAGGCTGAGAACAGGTGAGTGGAGAGAGAACTGAAACTGTCGTAGAAGCCCCAGGTAACAGCTGTGGGCATTGGAGACTGTGGTATCATTACTCTGAACACAGGTTTCTCCCAGCCCAGGACTGCCATGGGAGCTAATGAAGCTCACTGGCTGGCCTGAGTTCCCTGCCTTCACACACACCCCATGATCATTAACCCACAGCAAGACCTGACTCTGTCCTCTTCCCAACATTCTAGTGCTGTGATGTCTGAGGCCCTCCATGGTAACAGCCCTGTTGGCTTTCCAGCCCTGCTCCCATCATTCTCACCCTTGTGTCCAGTAACACCGAGCCCCTTTACCCACAGGGCTGACGTGATGGTCCCTGTTTTCTCTCCATCTGTGTAATGCATCCTTTCCTTATCTTTGCTAATTTCTATTTATTGTTTTCCGACTAAGCTTCAAGATGATTTCAGCAGCATTTTCTTCAGAAAGAGTACTGCTGCTTGTTCCCTGACGCTGAGCATTGCTCTCTAGCAGTTTTGGATTAGATGCCCTCCCATGTGCTTCCATGATACACCATTAGTGAATCTCCTTGAGTTTCCTTAATACGACACTTCACCATCATCTATTTGAGCATATCTTCCCTTTATCTAATAAGGGTCTAGGCCTTACTAGGTTTTTACACTTCCTGTGTCTGTCTACAGAGAAGTAGGCACTTAGCAAATGTTTGTTATAGAATGAATGTCACATGCAAACAACTAAAATGTCCACCAACAGGCGAGAGGATGGACAAACTGTCTTATCCATATGATGGAACACCTTTTAGCAATCAAAAGGAAGACTCTATTGAAACAAAGACTGAATATGCTGTGCAATCTACTTATGTGAATTATAAAAAGGCAAAAGTTTGTTGATAGGTTTGGTTTTCAGGGACCAGATTGGGGGGGGGGGAGTTAACCAAAGAAATGACAACTTTTCCTCTAGAGAGGAAGGGATGAAGTCCAAGATTGGTCCCTTGTAGGTACTCTTCCATCCCTTTAACTGTGCTCCTGATCCTCCCTGCCCCATTCTTACTCTGAGGTCAGTCAGTTAACTGTTGGCTAGGCCTCAGGCTAATACGATAGACTGCCTTGTACTGTCAGAGTGGTGAGGTCCTTCGGAATATAGGCAGGCTCTGGAATCAGAGAACGTCTGCCTGAATCCTGGCTCCTCTACTGGCCACCTGTGTAATCTCAGTCCAGCTACTTGACCTCTCTCTTTTTCTTCTTTGAGACAAGAGTTTCACTTTGTCACACTGGGTTGAGTGCTATAGCGTTATAGCTCACAGCAACCTCAAACTCTTGGGCTTAAGCTGATCCTCTTGCCTCAGCCTCTCGAATAGCTGGGACTACAGGTGCCCACCACAATGCCCCGCTAGGCTTGACCTCTCTTGGCCTTGTCTCCTAAATTATAAAATGGAATAATAATACCTCCTCATGGAGTTGTGGTGATGATAAGAATCGGCACACAGAAGCTACTTAGCACACAGTATCTGGCATATGGGCAGTTTTTAGTAGATGTTTGCTATTAGGAAGTCATTACCCAAATCATCTCTGTGAAATAAATTGTTTTCTTTCACCCTCAAGTGTTCTTTCTCAGGGAAACTTAAGAAGGTGAAGAATGGCCATGAGCTCAGCCTCAAGCTATGACCTCATTCCAACCTTGCTTAATAATGATACAAGATTAAGAGAGGTCTGGAGGCTTTCTGTGGGCTCCTAGACTCCCTTGGCCTGTTCTTTTCTTGTGAGAAACCCTCTCCCGGCTGCAGCTGGGGTGAAGATGCAGGTAAGAGAAGGGCAGACCTGTAACTTGTAATCCACCATGTCCCCAACACCAAGCGTGGCACAGAGAAGGTGCTTGATAAATGTTGAATTGTGGCCCATGGGAACATGACCTTCGATGCCCAGGCTCACTGCACTCACCACTGTGTTCTCACACCACAGAGTCAGGCAGTAGTTTTTCACTTGGCCCCAGGCATCCTTCATGTTATCTTCGGACAGCAGCACCAGCTCATTGCTGTCCTGAGGCCGGTAGCTGGGGGATAATGAGTAAGAACCAGGTCACAGACTACAGGTATCATCACAAAACCACCCTCCTCCCCAGTCCTCCATGCCAGCACAAAGTCCCTGACGGTGCCTCCCCCAGCTCCCTGCATGGAGCTCACCTCAGCTTCGTGTGTTCTGGCAGGAGCTCCAGTTTCTTAGACACCATATTCCGGACCTGGCTATAGGAGAGCCCAGGCTGCGTCTCCATGACCACCGTGTACTTGTAGTGCACCTTGAGCATATAGGGCATGGGAACACTCAGCCTTACGTCCTGAGGGGGAGCAAGCAAAGGGAACTCCTGAGTGTCAGAGGCTTTCTCTCAGCAGCATCCTTTGGCACAGGGAGTACCCTCTGCAGTGGGGGGAGGCCAATAAGTAACGGGTTTCATAGTAGCCTGAAAGGCCTTCCAGGGTCCTCTCGCCCAACTTCTGCTTGGACAGAAATTCCTACTAAACCAGATCTGGCCTACCAGCCATGGGCTAGCAAGAAGTGTGTGCATGGAGGTAGGGGATGTTGCTGAGGAGCTCCCTAGCCTATGACCTGTAAGGTAACTGCTTCAACCCTTCATTCGGACTCCTGTAATCCGGACAGCCACACTGGCAATTGATAGACCAAGCTCTTTCATCTTCTACCGCTTGTAACAGCATAAGGAAAAAATGTTACCTTGGGCTCTTCTTTTTGTTTCCGACCTAAATGGAAAAGGTAGGGAGTAAAGCAAAAGATAAATGAATGAACACTCTTGGGCAGTCCCTGCCATATACAGAACGAAACCCTTTACAGCAGGCTACCTGGCTTCTTACCTTTCAATCTATGGGTTGATTATTAACCTTAGCAAACTGTGGGGGAAAATCTCACTTTCCCCCCAGGCAGATGGATAGTTTGAGCTCAGGAGTTTGAGATGAGCCTGAGCAAGATTAAGACCCCGTCTCTACTAAAAACAGAAACTAGCCAGGCATGGTGGCTCATGCCTGTAGTCCCAGCTACTTGAGAGGCTGAGGCAGAAGGATCACTTGAGCCCAGAAGTTTGAGGTTGCTGTGAGCTATGATGATGCCCATGGCCCTCTACCTAGGGCAACGAAGTGAGACTCTGCCTCAAAAAATAAATAAGAGTGTTGGGTCACAGCTTAAGTCCTATTTGACATCAGAGCATTCCATGCTAGAGAGAAACCCTGTGAATGTAACAAATGTGGAAAATAAGCTTAAGTCTTATTTAACATCAGAGAAGTCACACGAGGGAGCCACCAAAAGAAATACTAGAACCACTTATTTTCACCCAATCCTTTATTTTTATGTATGTTTTCTAAAGTGCATCATATATTAATATAATAGTATATAGTAGTATAAATACAAGTAGCAGAAGTGTGCAGAAAGATATTTAGGGGCCCATGATCAGAAAAGACCACTAATCTCAAGCATAGCTGATCATTAGAATAACTGGGGAAGTCCATTTCTAAAAATGCAAATCTTCCTGTGTTTGTATGTGATCTTCGATGAGCCCCTACGTAAAAAAGATTAAAATGAAAAAATTTATCAAGGACATTTGAGGGGGGAGCAATTAGAAAAATTTGAATATGGAACACATACTTTGTACTATTATTAATGTTAAATGCTTTAGACATAACAGTTGTATTGTGGTTACAGAAGAAATGTTTATTCTTAGGAGATCTTGCTGAAATGCAGGGTGAAGTGTCATATGTCTGTAATTCATGTTCAAGTCGCTCAAGAAAATACTAGAGCGAGAAAGGGGAAGGGCAAGTAGATGGCACAAAATGTTAGCAATTGGTGAATTTAGGTGAAAGGCCTTATGGTATTTATTATACTCTACTTTTCTGTAGGTTTGACACTTTTCAGAATAAAAATGGGGGAGGGGGCATTCCAAGTGATTCTGATAATCAGGTGGGCATGAAAATCATTGATCCAGAATCTGGACAAACCACTTATTTCAAGCCATCTCTACCAAGTGCTCATTCAGAATCTGCTTAAACTCCACCAGTGTTTAAGCGATAGCCTATTACTTCCCAAACAGTCCTCCCCACATTATGAGAGATCTTTAGGGAAAGAAAATTTCTCTTTCACATCTGCCCACTGGTTCTTTGCCCCTCAGGGCACCGCAGAACAGTGTCTTTTCCAGATACAGCTCCTCAGACATTTGAAAAGAGCCCAGTCTGCGCCCTCACAGGCAGACATGCACAATTATTTCAACTTTTCTTCCTTGAGTAACTAGTAGTCCCAGCTACTTGGGAAGCTGAGGGTGCTTAATAATCAAGGGATTTGGCGACTGCTTGAGTCGGGACAATCACTGCCCCTCAGAAACCAGCTGCCTTCACCAGAGCCCTGTGAGTACCCCAAAGAGGGCACTGACTGCATGTTTGGAGTGGCTGGTTGGTGCAGGAGAGGAGGTTCTAGGGTCGTGTGGTCAGCAGCTGAGTGGAGTGTAGGGACAAGAAGAAACCAGAATTTCCTGGAAGGCTGGGAGAGCAACTCTCAGTCAAGAAGCAACCTGGGCTTGGCCCCTGTAGCTCAGTGGCTAGGGCACCAGCCACATACACTGGAGCTGGCAGGTTCGAATCAACCAAAGAATAGCTGGGCATTGTGGCAGTTGCCTGTAGTCCCAGCTACTCTGGAGGCCAAGGCGAATCAAGGCTTAAGTCCAAGAGTTAGAGGTTGCTGTGAGCTGTGATGCCACAGCACTCTACTGAGGGCAACATAGTGAGACTATCTCACTAAAAGAAAATGAAAAAGAAGCAGCCTGGAGTGCCCCTGTGCCCAGGCCTCAGGTGTCCCTCCAGGGCCACTAACCTGGTGACAGCTGGGGTCTTCCTGGGGCATCAGAACTGGGAGGAGCTGGGATGTCAAGCTCTGGGGAGCCATCCTGCAGGTGACAGGAAGAGAGGGTCAGGACCTTCACTCAGACAAAGTTCCCAGGTAGGGGTGAGGGGAGAGAGAGACCCCACAGACCCCCATGGAAATGATCCAGATGCAAATGACTTCCTAAAAGTTTTATTAGAGGGGGGTGACATTTGGAGGAGATTAGGGAAAAACATTGGTTAAAAAGAGGTGGCAGGCTTTTTGGATAACAATCAGGGAATTCTTCTGAATGAAACATCACAAGAATGGAGAAACAAACACATGTACTCAATACTGAACTAACTGATCGATACTTAAGTGCACATTGGAAATAAATCTCAATGAAAATCAATGTGGGGGCTCAGTGCCCCTAAGCACAGTGGTTATGGCATTGGCCACATATACCGAGGCTGGCAGGTTTCAACCCGGCCTGGGCCAGCTAAATAACAATGACAACTGCAACAAAAAATAGATGGGCGTTGTGGTGGGCACCTGTAGTCCCAGCTACTTGGGAGGCTGAGGCAAGCGAATCACTTAAGCCCAAGAGTTGGAGGTTGCTGTGAGCTGTGACGCCAAAGGCCTTTACGGAGGGCAGCATAGAGAAACTCTGTCTCAAAAAAAAAAGAACATCAATGTGGAGGTAGGAGTGAGGAGAGGAGGGGTAATGTCACACCTATTGGGTACAGTGCCCACTGTCTGGGTGAAGGGCACACTTCAAATTTTGACTCAACCTCTATGAAAACAAAGTATGTAAATAAAACATGTCTCCCTTAACATTCTGAAAATAAAAAAAAATAAGGAGGCAGGGCTGGCCCGAGAAAACAAAAATCACAGTAGAAATAAGAATCCTATCCCCCACCTAAAAGGTCCTTGCCCCCTTTTCCCTCTCAGCCATACTGGAAATCCGCTGGACATGGGATTGACCAGGTAGGGATGACCTCTTGTCTCAGTGCAAAGCGCACTGAGAAAGGAAAAATTCCACTTCTGATCTGCACGGCATTTATGGTGACTCTGACCAGGGAGGGCCAAGCTCACTCACAACTGGTCTACATAGTCTAGAAAGGAACAGGCTCCTCTAATATTGGGTCACTTACAGGGCTGCTCAGATCCAAAAAGAGACAGCTCTGTAGGGCTGGGAGAAGGGCCTGGCTTTGAAGGGAGCGGGGAAGTCGAGGTGGGTGTAGCAGTTGTAGAAGCAAAGGTTAGCAAAGGCCCCCTTTGATTCAATGCTCTAAAGCTGATATTTTAATATTTTTAATGGCATTGCACCAGCCAACACATTGACTGTTCTTCTAGGTGAAGAGGTTACACCTGGGAAGAACCCAACCCTCATGTACTGTAGGCCTTGGTTCTCAAGTCATCTCTTGACCAGCAGGAGTCACAGAGGTCAGTGGGACCAACAGATGCCTCCACTTAGCACCTGGGTTTCTTCCCTCATCCCCATGTTCAGCTCAGGGCAGCTGGTGCCAACTCAAGGTGGGCTCGGGACTAGTGAGTCTGCCTTTGGTGATCGTGGCAGCCTCTTTCACACAGCTCTTCTCCCCTCCAGGGAGGGGTCTGCAAATAGCAAGAGGAAATGGGTCAGGCCTTGGCACTATGTTACCTGGGGCTGCTGCTGAGGATGGATCCGCAGCTCAACTGGTTCAAGGTAGTTGCAGGGAACAAGCCCCTTCTGCAAGGCAACATCACAGAGTCAGAGAGTGGGAAATGAAGATGTATCCCTCAGCACCCACAGCCCACAGATGGGCCAGAGTCGTGGGGGGGATGGCGAACAGACAAAAAACCCTCGGCTGCCCTCGGTTGGTCTGCAGATAAGGTAGCAGCAGCAGATACCGTTCCACAGAAAGCTCTGCCGTCTGTGCCGGGATCCCCTGCCCATACTACCACCCCCAAGCCTCTGAATACCTGCCCGTTGAACATGACCGTGGCCCAGTTATCATTGCCTTTCTTCAACACAAAGACAATGTTCCCTGGCATGACCTGAAGCTCCTCTGGGGTCTCAGGCACAAACCCAAACAGCACACGGTGAGCCTCTCCTTCCAGAGCCCTGCAGGGGTAGACACACGATCCAGCGCACTGTTTAGCTTGGACCACACAGTGTCACAGGACAAGCATAGGGGAGTTAGAGCCAGGGACTTGGCTCTAGGCTCACGCTAACTCCACAGCCAGCAGCCTATTGGACCTTGAGCCAGGTGCTTTCCTGCCTGGGTCCCTGAGAGGTAAGAAACTGTGTGTGAGCATGCCCATGACCGTACATGCAGTGGGACAGGACTACAGCAAAAACCAGAGCAACACTAGATGACAGACCTTCCAATCCTGGCCCTCTCCTCCTTTCTTTCCTTTTTTTCTTTTTCTTTTTTTGAGGCAGAGTCTCACTCCTTGCCTTTGGTAGACAGCTGTAGTGTCACAGCTCACAGCAACCTCAGTCTCTTGGACTCAAGTGATCCTCCAACACCCAGTTATTTTTTCTATTTTTTAGTAGAGATGAGGTCTCGCTCTTGCTCAGGCTGGTTTAGAAGTCCTGAGCTCAAACTATCCACCTGCCTTGGCCTCCCAGAGTGCTGGGATTATAGGCACAAGCCGCCACGCCCAGCCCCTCTCCCCTCCTTTCTAAGGAGAAAGGTTGTTAATTGAATCATCTTGGCCAGCTCCCAAGTCTGGGCTAGGCAGGGTCAGGGGATTGGGGTGGGGCGTGGGGAGGTGGTGGCACAAGGTAGAAGTCAGGGGCAACCAAGTGAGAGGGGCCGATGGGGGAGAGAAGGAGAGGGGACCTGTACAGAGCCTCAGACGGGGTAAGGACAGGGTGGCAGGGCTGGATGGGGAGGTGCACAGAGGGTCCTAAGGCTGCCCTGCTGCTGCCTTCACTCTTCCAGGCTCTGGGGTGTCTGATTGGTGCCACTTTGGAATGTGTGACTGAGATTGACCTTAAGGCCTCTGGAGGAATTCGGGTTTCAGGCTCCCTCCATTCACTCCTCACTCTGTCACTTTCCCCTCAGCCCATTTATTTCCAAACATCCTGTCCACTCCTGTAGGGAACACTGACTCTTCCAGCAGCAGCAATGACGTAGGAATAGGCTCATCCACCCCCCCTTCCCTTTTTTGGTAGTTTCTTTGGTACTTCCTTGACTTTTTGTTAAACTTTTGGGGTGGGGGAGCTGGGCTTGCTTCATCACTCACAGGGAGTTCTTAAGAAAGCTGTAGGTTGTGCCACTCTTTGCTTCTCATTTTACAGAAGCATGACTTCCTTTTCTTGAGTCCTTCTTCTTATTGCTTCCGGAAACATGTGCCAGCAAGGAATGGAAAACACCCACACAGGAGAGGGGCTGCCATTCCGGACTCCTGACTCCAGAGCTGCCTCCCTTCCCTGCAAAACTGGCTTCCGGCCTTAGGTCAGCGTCCTGGCTGCCCAGGTGACCATATTCCCTGGGACACTGCTGTCCCCAGGAACAACTCCTCTCTCTGTGGTGGCTGTGGGACCAGGGAAAACACTGGGACACCACGTAGCTGCAGCTGGGCTCCAGTTGTCAGCCCCACTGCAGCCAAGGCCCAGCCTCACGTCATCATTCCTTTCTAACCCTGAAACAGAAGAAGCCTAACATTCTAAAAACTGCAACAAGATTTAGACCCTGCCTCCCTCTTCATCTTCTTCGTGCCCTTTGTTGCTGTCAATTCCTGCTTGGAGTTTGGGTATTCTGCATGTGGATCTAATTCTAACTTACCTGAAGATCTCTGGGGTTTTGGGTCTGGGTGGAGGCTCAGCTGCCTGTTGAACATTGAGGAAAAATGAAGAAGAACAATGAGGGAAGGGGAGGGAGAGAGAACAGAGCTTTAGTGGTAATCTGAGCGCTCTTCCAGAGCAGAAAATCAAAGTACGCATTTCTTTCTTTTTTTTTTTTTTTTT